CTCAGTAGTCCTCATTGTCCGCTATGTTCAGCGAGTCCGGTTTTATCCCAGGCTTTTTCAGACCCAGGCCAGCTGGCCTTGGTGAGTTCCCGATAGAACATCCTCATTGTCTCAGTGTGTGGGTGCACCCCTCGCGGTCCTGAGTTCCTTGCTCGTGCTCTCTCTCCTTCTTCTCCTGATTTGGACCTTGAGATTTCTGTCCGGGAGTGATTATCTTTTTGTGACCAGCTTATTTCACTTTGCATAGTATATTCAAGGTTATAGCATATGTCAGAATTTTATTTCCTTCTGACACTGAGTAATGTTTCCATTGTGTGTGTGTGTGTGTGTGTGTGTGTGTGTGTGTCTGTGCTTGTGCATGTACACATCTATGTAGCACACTGTGTACCTCTTGTGATGATGTCTGTTGTATCTGTCATTTGGCTGTTGTGAATAATGCTGGTGTTGGCAAAGATGACCAACTGTCTGAGCTTGTTCTCTAGGACTTGCTGGATGGTATGGCAGTTGTATGCTTGGTTTTGATGGCTCATCAGATAATTTCCTACAATATGGGCTGTAGAGAATTAACATACAGCACTCTTTCACAGTATCGATAATGTCATTTGATGCACAAAATTCTTACCTTGTTGAAATCCAAGGTACTTAGTATATGTTCTTCACTTTGCTAAATTAACCATTGAGAGGTTGAGACCACTTCTCTAGCCTCCTTTTCCTGTAGTGACATTTTTCTGTCTATTTTTTTCTTTAAAGCCTAGAAAAGGGGATGGGGAAATGGCTCACTTGGTCACACACTTGCCACACAGGCATGAGGATGCAAATATAGATTCCCTAGCACCTACGTAAAAATCAGGCATGGGAGCAAACATCTGTAACCCTAGAGCTAGCAGGGAAGTGTTGGGGGAGCAGAGATAGGCAAATGTTTGGAGCTTATTGGCAAGTCAGTCTAACCAAATTGAAGAGCTTCAGGTTCTACAAGAGAGCCTGTCTCAAAAATCAAGGTGGAGAGTCATGGAGGAAGACACATGACATTGACCTTTGGTCTTCATGTGTGTATGTGTGCACATAAACCTGCACATGCACAAAGCACACACACAACTAGAAAAAGTTATGTTGAAATGGAGCCAGATTTTCATATTACTGGCATCCCTAAGAGAGAGGAAAATCATTCATTCACTGACGCACCTGCTTCCTCCAGAGTAGAAACCTTTTAATCTAGAGTTAGTGATTTTATTGTTATGTTAGTGATCAGATTGTTGCGATTATGGAGATAGGATGTAGATCATGCCACAGCATTGGTTAACTCAAGAACACAGGTCTATCAGTGAGGACAATAATGTAGTAGCTGCCGTGAATAATGCTGTCTTTGTAATGTAAGTGCTTTGATGACTGTATTGTATTTACATAGTCTTTCCTTATCTACAGTTTCACTTTCCATAGTTTCAGTTATTTGCAGCCACCCACAATCCAAAAATACCAGTATTTCTTGGGACTTTAAAGAGAAAGCAGCCATGTTCACATGGCTTTTATAATTGTATATAGTTATAGTTGTTTTGTCTCATTCTTGTTCATGATTAGTCTCTTACAATGTCTGCTTTATAAACTGAATGTTATTATAGGTATATAGTTTTAGGAAAAACATATCCATAGGATTTAGTAGTATTGGGTTATTGCTGAAGTCCCACACACTTCAGGTACAGACAGGACATGGGGAAACCAGGTTGGCACTGACCAGGAGGCTTCCCTTGCTGACTTGTCTTTCCAGGATAGAAGATCTATGTAGGCTGCGGGGAAGTTACCAGCAGTCTTCCTCAGCCTTGAGCCTGAGAGGCACAGCAATGCCTGGCGTGACAAGATAAGCCTGACACGGATATTATGGGGCTATGCTTTCTGATTGGATTTAAGACCCACTCCATACAAGGAAGTGCATGCCTGGTACTCTAGATCTTACCACCTGGCTGGGGAGCTCATTTTGCCCAGGAGTAGGTCTATTCCTATTAGTCTGTTAAATGAACATGGTATTAAACGGCCCTCTGGATTTCTGTCACTGTACAGCTGAGTCAGTGCAGCTCTTGGTCCATATCAGAGACGTTTCTTTGCAGTGGATGATGGTTAATGCAGAGCCTCACAACAGAGTGCAGAGAGTAAATGTCAGTGGAGAACTCAACCACACACGCAGTGCCTCTGTTTCCCTTCCCCTGCAAGGCTTGGGGACCATCAAGAAAGGAAGAGGAGGCAGAAAGATGATTAGAGTCAGAAGTCAGGGAGGACCAGAGTGAAGCAATGTTTTCTGGACACAGGGGACCTCTGTAATTAGGAACTTGCAGCTGCTGTGGTTGCTTGTACATGACCAGCAAGATAGCAAGTTAGTAAATATGCTAGCATGGAGAAGGAGGAGCTCCTGAGCCCCCCTCCCCTAACTGAGGAAGTGTTGACACTTGATGACTTCTGGGGCTGCTATAGTTTTTGTTAAGGTATGGCCATTGGTAGGCCAGCTGTGGTTCAGTGGATGATCCCGCCCCTGTGAGTATATGGGCAGCACAGATAGATTCAGTGGGGTGAAACAAAGATGGCAGGACGTTGGGGGTGGGGCCTAGAGATCTGGGAAGAGTTAGGGGAAGGAGTGGGAAGTGTATATATAT